TTTTTTTTTTAATTAAGGTAAATAAATAGCCATCCAAACACGACCTCTCTTCATATCCAAGCCCAAAATTGCAGTCTCTCAAAACCTCAAATTGTACTTTTCCTTCCTAATAATTTCTTTCCACAACACAAAAAAAAATAAAAAATAAAATATATATATATATATATATATAAATACATAAATAAATTAATAATAATAATAATAATAATAATAATAATAGTAAAAATAATAATATTTGCACTTCATTTGTTCATGGTAAGTGCCAAAATTTTGCTGATTTTATTTAATTTCTATTTTTTTTTGGGTACAAATTTAATTTCTATTTTAATTGCACAAAACATTTGCAGAATTAAATCATTAAATATGGCCTATGTATTGGTTTTTATTTTTTCTTTATTTATTCTGCAGGAGACTGAGAAGAGCAACGTGATATATGAAGAGGTACAAGCATAAAGCATGTTATATGAACTAGTTTTTTTTTTTTTTTTTTTTTTTTTTTTTTTTTTTTTTGGCAGGAATATATAGTGAATTCACGTGGAGTAAAGCTTTTCACGTGCAGATGGGCACCTGCAAATGTGGAGCCAAAAGCTTTGGTTTTCTTATGCCATGGCTATGCCATGGAGTGCAGCATCTCAATGAGAGGTATTGATTATATAGTTGTATAAATTCTTAAATTTTTATTATATGATTATATGATATTTATTTATTAGTTAGTCGGTATTGATTTTGATTTTCGAACAGGTTGTGCGACGAGGCTGATTAAGGCCGGGTACGAAGTTCATGGCATCGACTGCGAAGGCCACGGGAAGTCGTCCGGGCTGCAGGGACTCATCACCGATTTCGATCATCTTGTCGATGATTTAACCGAACATTTCACTAATATTTCTGGTAAGACGATATAATCATATGATCATTGTGGTTTTCTTAATCTTTGTTCTCTTTTATTTTCTTGTTTTGAACTAGTTTTGTTTTCATATTAATTTGATCACTAGTATATAACTATTGAACTTAATTAGGATATTGTGAGTTAATGTTTGGTTCATTGGATATTAGAGGTGGATTTGGTTTAGAAGTGGACAACTTCTACTAAGGAATTAATGGCCACAAGATTCGAACCGAGCTATTTACGACCACAGTTTCGTTCTAGTTGTGAAATCTCGAGCCAAGCTCTGACAACTAATCAAATTTGTTTTATTAAATGAGTTGAGTCGAGTATGTTCGAGAACAAAAGAAAACGAACTGTGTCCGCGAACAACTCATTTACAATATTGAGTTTGTTAAACGAGTCGAATCAAGCTGGCTTAATCCAGCTGGGCCAAGCAGACTCGTTTATTAAAGAACGCAAGTTTGAACAAGTAATGCTCGGTTCGACTCGAATAATGCCCCCAATGAGGACAATGTCAACTTGAATTTTACTATGGGAATGTATTTAAAGTAATTGAATAATGTGCAATTATGTGATTAGATTTAGATCACAAGCAAGTTGAACTAAACATATTGCAAATTTGATTACATATTTCAAAACTCATTAGTTAACGTGTCCTTGTCATTGAGTTTACTTTTGGTTTAGATATTTTCCATTTTTTAAGGTTCAGATAAAGGAGATCTGAGGGGCTTTAAAGTATCCCTTAAATAGTGGGTCACATGTGTTACTAAGATATTTATTATTATCTATTTATTTATTTATTAAAAAATTGTGACAAAATAATTAATCAACTAGCTAGCCCAAACAAATGGGCCTATTTAAAAAATAATTACTGGATAAAACCAAATAAAACGAAAAAAAATACCTCTAAATTTAAATTTTCAGAATTAAAAAAAAAAATATTTTAATTATCTTGACTTTTTTTTTTAAAAAAAAATTCTTAATTCTTAATGAATACAGAGTTAATGTTGACAATTCTTCTGAGATCGTGCAAATAATGGACTATATCAAAATGACTGAATTAAATTCTAGTGCTTCTTCTATTAGTGAAGTTTCTAGAAAAAATATATCAAACGACGCAACGCACCTTGGATCGCTATGGAAACAGCCACCTTGTATAATTACAAGGGTAAGGTCTGCGTACAACTGACCTCCCAGACCCCAACCTGTTTGGAATATAGTGGATATGTTGATGTTGATGATGATGTCTTAATGAATACAGAAAAAAGAGAAAATAGGAAAAAATCGAGAATTCTAATGGGCGAGTCCATGGGCGGAGCTATGGTTTTAAGGCTTCATAGGAAAAAGCCCGAATATTGGGATGGTGCGGTGCTCATTGCACCCATGTGCAAGGTACATTTTTTTATTATTTTTTATTTTATTTTATTTTTCATATTAAGATTATTCATTTTACTACAAATAATAATAATAATAATAATAATAATAATAATAATAATAATAATAATAATAATGTTGTGTATTTATAATTGAAGATTTTGATGTGAAATATTAATTATGGTATAAAAATATGCAGATTGCTGATAATGTTAGGCCAAACCCATTGGTGATAAAGATTTTGATTGGTTTGGCTCATGTTATTCCTACCTGGAAACTTACTCCAACTCCAGACATCATTGACACTGCCTTTAGAGACCCACAAGTTGTAAAGGAGGTCAAATTTCTCATCCCCATCTAATTAACGGGATATGCTACGGTTTTGTTACAAAATCATTCCGTCGGGGTTTAAAACTGTTAAATCAACTATCTCCGACGGTTACATGATGATCTAACGATTACAAATCCCGACAGAATGGTTCCGTAACATGACAGTAGCATTTCCCCTATTTAATACCTTGTTTTAATTTCTACTAGTACAAGTAGTACTAATTAATATCAAGCATAATATGCAAATTTATTTTCTCGCGGTTCTCACGGTTCTCACTTGAACCACATCCATTAATATAAATATGCATGTTTGCTCGTAATGTATGATATATCGGTCCGCCTAATCATAAAGATGATTTGCACAAAAATTTATACTCATAAATAAAAGAATAAATGATTGTCTGATGGTTAAGCATGAGCATGACCATAATATTTATTTTTATTTTTATTTTTATTTTTAAAAGCATGGATCATTTTCCACGTTTCATTTTTTATAATTTTAAGATTTAATAAGTAACCATGAATTGAAAATTGGTAACAGGTTAGATCCAACCCATATACATACAAAGGCCTGCCCCGTCTTCAAACAGCCCACCAATTGTATAAAGTCAGCACGGATTTGGAAACAAAACTTGATGAGGTATGTTATTTGAGGGAGACAGAACCATTCCTTCGGGGTTCGTAACCGTTAGATCAATTATCTATGACGGTTACATGATGATCTAACAGTTACAAATCCCGACGGAATAATTACGTAACGGGACTGTAGCATTTCCCGTTATTTAATATTACAAAATACTCTTCCTATCTTTAGAAATCGAAATTACCATCTTAAAATGGATACTTCAAAATAACCAACGAAATACATAATTAACTTATTTTAATAAAATTACTGCAGGTATCCTTGCCGTTCATCGTCCTTCACGGAGAAGACGATAAAGTGACCGACCCATCTGTGAGCAAGGACTTGTACGAGTCGGCTCGTTCGTCGGACAAGAATTTCAAGTTGTACCCGGGAATGTGGCACTCTCTGTCCTACGGCGAGCTGCCGGAAAATCTGGATAAGGTATTTTCTGACATTGTTGGGTGGCTCGATGGAAGGTTTTCCGACAGAGAAGCCCAGCTGGAGGAGCAGCAGAAGTTTGCTAATGATCAAAAAATTGGATCCAAGTGAAGAAGAAAGTTCAAAGTTAAAACTGGAAAGTTTAATGTGTGTTTGTTTCATACAGATTGTGACACTGTGTGAATTCTGAATGAATTTTTCTATTGATTGCCATCGTTTGGAGTGCTAATACTGTAAAAATTATGAAGTTTTTGCATACCGTTGAAAAATTCTTAATGAAAAGTACTGTGTACGGGAATTGTGCCAATTGTGCCAGGAGAGGGGAGAGGTAAGAGGTAATCGATCAATATGTAGAATCCAAACAAGTGATTGTCGAGATTCGCACAGGAACATCCAATTTGAATTTTAAAGAGAAGGTTCCAAGACACTGGAGTATATCTTGATGTGTATAGTAGTGGGGTGGAGCCTTTCATTTGCTTCTCTTCGATGGAAGTTTGATTTTCCCAGTATCCTAATTTTTTGCCTAATTCTTCTTCTGATGGTGATCGATTCAACATCTGATCAAAAAGATATATATTCTTAATAGCTTGTGGTAAAGGAGGAGGGTTGTGATAGGCTATGTTGTCTCAACATAGCAGGGCCAGGCCCTGGTAAAGGAGGAGAGTTGTGATAGGTTTGGCGAGCCATCGTAAAACCTAGCCGTTCTATGGAGATATTAATAGCTTGTGGTAAGAATGGATTTCAGCACGCCAACCATAGATCTAAAAAAAAAATAAGGCGACCGCTCTTTCCAATCACCTCCCGTATCCCACGGTCGATCAACACTAGAAGACTCGATGGCTTAACAGCCCAGTGAATAACCTGATACATAGAGAGTTGGTCAGATCTAGTATGGATCATACATGGACAGTCTGACATCCTGAGTTTTGACGAAGGCTGCCTCAAAAAGAAAACAAAGCAACTAGAGGGTCTCTGTTGGTTGAAGAGTCGGAATGAGCTTTTAGGTAGTAGCGAAGCGTATTAGGGATACAAGAGGACGAGTATATCTTAGTAAAAAACCTTCTCCAACCTTTGAATTGAAAGAAATAAGGAGGAGGAAATAACTAAGAGATCTGAGCTCTTGGAATAGGAATAAGTTTGACAGCGGATCGCAAAATCTTGGGCATAGGCATAGGCAAGGTCCTCTCTTTTAAATTTTAAATTGTTAATTCTCGAACTGATAGTTTATAATTTTATTTCGAACTGATAACTAATAAATTTACTAATAATTTATAAATTAATTTCAAACTAATAGCTGATAACTTAGGGCTAATGAATAAAAAAAAAAAAAAAAAACTAGGTAATATAATAACAATAGTTGGTAAAAATTAGTTAAGTCGAGTAGAAAAATAATATGAAGACTTCTTGGAAACGCAACACAAACATAAGACACAAGTTCGAACTTTTTGGAATATCCCAACACAATAAACCTAACTTATTTATCGACAAAAATCTTATAGACTGACTAATAAGCTATAAGCCAACTCACCAAAGAACTGAAGAAGCTCACAATAGTAAATACAAGATTTAAATAGAGAAGTTTTGAATCTCAAGTCTCCTAACTATTAATGCATAACCAATCCTTAACAAGAAATAACTTATCCAAAACCAGGGGCAAAATGAGACTAATGCCATTAATGCTTCTTAACAAAACGATTAATGCATCAAAACCAAGGATAAGTAGAATGTTCGAAAACAATTACTGCATCAAAAAGGCAGAGGCTGGCACAGCAATCATATGTTTGTTAAGCGATTGATCGTATTTAAAAGTCACGCTAAATTCACAATTATTTAGCACTTCAAAGCCAGCATAAAATCAACAAAGAGCTGAATCCAATTACCTCTATCGAAATCCGAAGCCGTGAACCAAACTGCAGAAGAACCGCATCTAAACAACAGACGCAACATCTGGAGCCACAATCTCAAGGAGCCCCTTAGGATTGTCCACATGCACCCAGTGCCCCGCATTAGGCAGCACATGAACCGAGACCTTCCCCTCATTATCATCTGCACGCTTAGAAGAAACGTGTTCAAGCTGCCTTATACAATCTGGGTCCCATCTATCGCTTTTCTCGGCACGCACAATGGAGATTTCCATGTCTTTTGGCGTGTGCTCCAGCAGTGGCCAATAGTCCATCTCTCTAGAAAAGATAAAAAATTCACAAGGACCTTTAATAGTCAAAATACATGTTAATGGCATTTATACACAATATATAACACTGACACCAATCATGAAAAATCTACCTATAAGAATTGAACATCTGAACAGCCCCATCAAGATTGAAAGCCCATGTCACATGTTCTCCCGATTTCTTGAGGTTGCTACCTATCCATTCCGATAGAGACTTCGAGAACCCAAGCTCCAGCATGTGATCTACCAGCCACCTTATAAAATGCAAATAGCAGGTAATGGGCATTTCTTTTCAAGGTATAGCTATAAAATCACAAAGTTATCAACAATTATTAGCTCATCGATCATTCCAACAAAGGCCAATTTAAATAAAGAGGGCATTCCTTTCTTTTTTTTTTTTTTTTTTTTTTTTTTTTTTTTTTTTTGCAGAAAGAAATGAAAAACAATTGCACTATTCAGTATATTCCCCCAATTCTCCAACTTTGGCCACCAATCATAGTACTCAACACTGCAAACATAATTAGCCTTGCTAAATAATTAATAAACAAGGAAAGAATAATTACTTCCTCGATGGTATAGTTGAAGGCAGACTCTGCAATGTCTTCAAAACTTTTTCTACTTCACCGTCACTATTATCTTGGATCACTTTCCCAGGGACCGAGTCCAGCACCCATAGCTGTTCTGCAACAGTTATATAAATCCGTAAGTAAGTAACACCACCTCAAGTGCACTGTTCTAAAAATCGGCCTAGGCGCCGCTAGGCGCTAGGCGGTGCCCGGGCGCCTCCGATTTGCACAAATAGGCAGAAAAAAACGGTCAGGCGGCTAGGCGGCGCCTAGGCGGCGCCTAGGCGGCCCTAGGCGCTCCTAGGCACCCTTGGCGGGCGCAGCGGCGCCTAGGCAGGAATAGGCGGACCTAGGCGCTCTTAGGTGGGCTCGGCGGCAATTTTTCAGTTTTTTTTTTAATTTTTTTAAATATTAATTACATTATTTTATTCTCATGTTTTCTTTAAAATATATTAATTTTATTATTTAGACTTAGGTGTGTCGATTTATTATAAGTTGAGATAGTTTTATTTTGTAGGTAGTCAAATTAAATAAAAAATAAGGTATTTAATATTGATTTCTAGGCCCCGACTAGGCACCGGCCTAGGCGCTAGGCGCTGGTCGAGCGCCTAGCGACTTTTAGAACACTGCTCAAGTGGATAAGGCAGTTAAAATTCAAATCTAAAAACATCATACAGCACAAGAGAGTCTAAAAGAAAGACACCCAACAAGATGGCTCAGCCAGTATTTTCATTTTTATCGTAACCCGATACTGCCCGAGAAACCCAACCAAAACTTACAATATTGCATTTAACATTTTATCGAAAAATTATCATGCGCAAAGATATACTTTCATGATAGAGAAAAAACCATATCATAAGTTAATTACTGGAAGGACGATCACCTTTTTGGGCAAGCTAACATTATCTCCATAGTGCCCTTGGGCACAACTTTGGGCAAACTGCAGAGCTACCTTTCCGCCCATAGAGTGTCCAATTACAACATCCGGCCAATCCCAACCTTCGGATTTCACCAAATCTGACAGATCTTTCGCAGCATTTTCAAGGTCATGAGGGGGCAAGAATCCTTCTATTTCAGCTGACTTCCCATGATTTCTCAGGTCGACAAGAATCATCCTCCACTCTGCATATAACAGAGGCCATGCTTTTCATCAAGCACAAGAATCAAAATCATGGGTAAGAGAAAGAAAGTTCCTTACCCTCATTATCAATTCCTGACACATCAAAATGAGCACAACAGTTTACAGAGCATTAATGAAGCTAAATTAACACTAATCTACCCAATCAACATATGATTGTCACATTATATGAAAAGCTCTAGCCGGAATTTACTTCTCCAAACGAAACAAATCAATTCTATCACCACAAGATCACCAACATTCACGAACCAAAGGCAATGGACACAATGTCGATATATCAAAAAAACAAACGTAGATATATATATATATCGATGACAATTGATTAAAATTTGAAGAAATTTTACGAACGGGCGGGGGCGAGGTAGGAGGCAAGGGACCGAGAGAAGGAACGCCAGTTCCGGCCGGAGCCGAGGAGGCCGTGGAGTACGAACGCTGTGAACTCGTGTGGCTTTTCTGATGACGATTTGATCTCTTCAAAAGCTAGGGTTTGCAAGTACCGGCGACGGTGGTGGATGACCGGCGTAGGCCGGCCGAGGATCCGGTTGAGCAATCCGATAAGACCGGGTTTGGTCGGAGCTCTCGGCATGGTTCTGAGTTCTGACCTTAATGTGCTTTCACTGCGTGTACTTCGTGAGAAATATACCTTTGGATTCTTAAAAAAAAAAGGTAATTTTTAACGGTGAGATCTTACATGGTCAAACTTTGAGAAGGAATTTGGCCAATATTTTGTTTTTGTTTTTGTTTTTGTTTTTCTTTTCTAAACATGTAAAGGCAATTTTAACGAATCTCGAGATAAAGTATGGTAAAATAAAATGTGTCATTAGATAAGTCGAGTCGAGAGCTTCAAAATGATATATAACTTGTTGAAATTTGTCACCGAAGGCGACGGGCAACATAAGGCAATTTTTTTGACTGATTTTTTAACGTTTGAATAAAAAATAATTAATTTTGAAAACTTTAGTAACCAAAATTGATTAAATTGGAACCTCGTGTACCAAAAGCGAAAAGTTGGTAATACTTTGATTACCAAAAGTTAATTTTCCCCCTTCCATACAGACCTTTTCACTTGTTATAACATGTGAGCTGTTAGTCAAAGAGCAAAACATATCAAAACTGCTGAACGATCCAAATATAGAATATGTAAAATGATTTAGTGAATATATATAGTATCAAACTGAAAAGAGAAGATGTCCAAAAATATCAGTTGTAATTAAAATAATTCTCTCGTCTCTCTCTACCTCTACCTCTACCTCTCTCTAAAAAAAAAACACCAGATCTAGTTGCCTTCCTCCAACAGGGGCCTCTGTGCCATCGGGGCGGCGGCTTCTCCGGGCCGTGCGGCCGGCGTTCGAAGGCTTGTTGGATGGGCGGCTTCCTCTTCCCGGGTGAGTTGGCGGATTTGCCCAATTTGGATCTCGCCTCTTTATCGGTCGCCACGAAGGGTTTTGACCGGCAGCTCCTCGGGGTATGAGCAGCGGCATTTTTCCGGTAAGCTTTGGTCCATGGGCTGCGGTTCCGATCATTACTTTGGTAACAAGGGGTGGTCGGGCTGAGATTGGGCCGTTTCGCTTTCCTTCCTTCTCCGGTTTTCTCTACTTTTGTGCTTGTTGGTTTCATTGGCGGAGTTGAGTTGGGGCTGGGTCTTGTGTCCCGGTCTCGGGTCTTCGGGGTTGTGATGGTGGAGCTTGTTTATTGATCTCCGGTCACGGGTATTGAGGTTGTCCACTCGGGAGGGCCATGGTTTTCAATCTCGAGTGTAGTTAGGCGAATGAGTTTCTGTAGTTTCTGGCTTGCGACTTGGACTGGGTCTTGTCCGTGTAGGTGGTCGGCGTCTAGTTGTGTTCGGTTGGTTACGGCTGCTGGCTGGAAGGGCTTTTAGTTTTGTTATGTGTCTTTTATTTTTTTGTGTATGTTGTTTTTTGTGTGTTGTCTTGTAGTTTGTGTTCTGTTAGTGTTTGTTTGTTATGTTTTGTTTGTGTGATGTGTTTTTGGTTTGGGCTTTTCGCCTCTGTGCGCCCGAGTGTCACTTTATTACCCTGTTGGGGTCGGACACTCGGGTATTACCCTGTTGGGGTCCGACAGTTGGGTATTACCCTGTTGTTTGTTAATGTCACTTTTTTGCTAGCCGGTATTCTAGGCGGGCTTATGAAAACCTGTCCTCCATTTTCCTTTTTTTCGTTCTTTTTTCGGCTGTTGGCTGTTGTGTATTCAGTCGTTGGCTGCTGTATATTCGCACATTTGTGCTTTTCGATTTATAATATTTCTATCGTTTCCGAAAAAAAAAAAAAAAAAAAAAAAGAGAGAAGATGTCCATAGTATCACACAATGCATCACATTATTTATATTCAATCAACGATTATTAAAGTTACATATTATTTTTTGTCGTATTTTGTGTCCACCAATTATCATGCTATGCAATGGAAATGTAATTTAAAGTAATTTCTTCATGAAAAGAAATAGAATAAAAAAGGATTCCTCTTTTATATTGTTGTATAACTAGTATATTAACTAATAAATATTTTATAGTAATTTCATTAAAGAAAAAATACGTAGCTTAAGCAATTATGATATTTTTTTGACAATTTATTAAATATATTGATTTACATAATTGTAGGTTTCACATTTGAAAAAATAGCAATAATTAATGCAATATTAAGTATACACAAAGATTATTTAAACTTGTGTCAATTTATTTAAACTATACACAAACTAAACCAGAGAGAAAAAACTATACACAAACTAAACCAAAAAAATAAAAAATAAAAAAATGAAAATTGTGTCAATTTATTTAAACTTGAAATTTCTTGCTGAGCATGAAATCAGAGAGAACAAAGATTACAAAACACATTCATTCTGCATTCCCTTTTTTTTTATTAAAAAAAAAAAAAAAAAAAAAAAAAAAAAAAAAAAAAAACTCACATCATCTAAAGAAACATTCATCAGCCATCACCCAATCAATCAATCCTCACTGTCCGAACTCCCCTCGTCGCTACTGTAATCGCTACTATCATCCTCGATATCAAGCTGCACGTGCCGCACTTGTATGGGCTCGGGCCCCCTCCCAATGGGCCCAACTGGTGGCACAACGGGCCTCGGCTGCCTCACTGCCTCCTCCTCCAACGGGCCTCGGCCCACAGGAGGAAGCAAATCCAGCGGAGGCATCGGAACCGGGTCACCCGGTTTCCACCCGGGCGGCGGCGGCACCATCGGCAGGTCGCTCGGCAGCTCCACCGGCATCCCGGGCCTCCATCCAGACGGTATCACGATATTCGGTATCGGGATCGCGCCACTCTCTGGCTCCTCCACCATCGGCTCGATTATCATCCTCTCGTCGTCTGCCTTCGGCAGCCCAACGTCAAGGCCCGCAAAACTGTACAGCTGGGACGCGCGAATCTGCTCCTCCTGCGGAGCAGGAGGCAGCGCCCCTCGGAGCAAGCCCTGGCCCGACCCGAACTCGGGAGGAGCGAAAGTTGTATAACTTATCTTGTGCGCGTACGAAAGTATCTCCGAGAGCTTGAGCGTGGTTTCCATCGTGGTCGAGCTCGATTTCCGGTATTCGGATGAGTAGTCGTCGACGAGCGTGTCGAGAGCGTGCTCCGCGTTTTTTACTTTGGTGGCGAAATCGAGGAGGGAAGAGTCGAGGGAGTTGATCTCCCGGGAGAGTTTGTTTTTAGCGTCTTGGAGGTCGAGTATCTCTTGGAGTTCGGCTACAGATTCGAAGAATTGGGTTTGGGGAGAGGTGAATTGGGAGAGAATCTCTTTGGCCGAGTCGGGTTGGGAGAGAGATGATGAGGAGGATGAGGAGAGGAAAGAGGGGAGAGAGCCGCGGAAAGAGGAGAGCCAATGAGAGCGGTTGGGGGAGACTTGGAAGAGTCGAGAGGCGAGGGAAGCCATTTGAAGGAGGAGAGATTGGGCGCGTGGGAGAGGAGGGAGAAGAGAGAGGAGAGAGGATGCTTGAGGAGTTTGGGTCGGGAGTTTGGGGTTTTGGAGGGAAGGAGAGCTGGGGGTGGGGAGGCCGAGTCGGGCTGGAGACTGGACGATTTGGTGGGGTATGTTTTGTAGCATTTTTTTTTTTGGACGGGAGGATGGTTTATCTTGGCCCTTTGTTTCAAAAGTTCCTTCCTGGAAAGAAAAAATGGTGATAGACACTCGTGTTACCTGTAAACCGATAAATTACAGTAAAACAAGTCGAAGTTGTAAAAATGCATAAACAATGCACAAACAATGCACCTGTTGAAAATATCAAAGGTCATTTTTCGGAAAAGAACAAAGTACACCACACAGGCATCACTTGCTATTGAAATAATGTAATCAAGTCACAGAACTGCATTACAAACTATACAAGGAATTCAGTTTAAGACTCCACAATATCCAGTGTTGAGGAAAAAAGGTCAATTGGTGCATAGACAAGAAAAATTCAAGATCAGATATAACATGAGAATTGAAATTATCAAATTAAGGTAAACATCATACATTTTGTGCATTAATTTTTATTCAAATCAAGTTAACTACTTCACATTTAATAACTTAACAAAAAAACTACCAATGCAGAGCATTGAGCAATATTGTCCCTTCGCACCCGCTAATGAAATGCCTAAAGGAAGACGTCAGCAAGCTAACATCATTTGGAATGAAGGCAAAAGATTATAGACGGATTAACAAATTGGCACAAACAGATCCTCAGTTCAACCTCCACATGACATTACAGTCAAACTAATTGTCTATGGTTTCGTTTGGCCTCACATGAATAACGGACATTTCAGATACACCAAAATTTACAAAACCAAATTCCGTACCGAAACTTACGCAAGACATCATTCTGATTACCGACCGAACCTAATCTGATCAATTTCTCGTTTCGCAATACAGACTTTTTCATGAAGGAACAGAATAATCTTTGTGGCACTACATTTCACTCTACAAACATAATCCGTAACGACCCCTTTTTCACCGGGTATAACTACTCTCTTCTACTCTCGAGACGAATAAACTACTATCTAAACGGGGAAAATGATCAACCTGATTGCTTACTTCATATCAACAATAACCACTTCAGTACTGCATAAACTAGGGGATGTAATTAACTTATAGCTACAGCCTACTAGACGTGTCAAGTCAAGACCCACCAAAACCCATCGTTTGGTGGGGGCACTGTATAAAACGCCAGTCCAGCCCACAACCGCACGGCCCGCCGCTCGCTAGGCGAGCTGGCCCGCCCAAATAAACAAAATGGAAGCAAAAATTGTGAAAGAAACAAAAAAAAAAAAA